AGCTCGACGCACAGGTGGTGGGGGGGAAGGAGGAGGTATTGAGAACTCGTGCACAAGGCCACTTGTCTCCCTTAACGATGGCGTTTACGCACCGCACCAGCTCCTCTGTTTAAGGCCGCAACGGTACACCTGCCGGAGGCCCCCGTAACAAGTTTAGGTAATCGTCATTGGGGATTGGCGCGTCATTCGTGAACCACCTAATGATGATAAAGTTCCGCCCCCTCGTATAGCCTCGACTGACAGTTGGGGCAAGTGCAGCTCGGCATACGCCGTTGTGGACACGTGGACGCACGCATTATGCAAGCGCAAGCGTAAAGGTTAAACTAATAATGCCTCGTGATGCGCATGTATCAACCAGTGCCCGCTTTTGAAGGTGAAACAAATGGGTGGGGAGGGGGGGGAGAAATCAATTTTGCAGACTAAATCGAGTAATCCTCACGGCGGATTTAGCCTGGAAGCGCCTCTTTTTTTGTATTAATGCTTTGAGCGGCCGTTGCGCACCAACTCCTAACCTGAGCAACCGAATGTCCACGCACGTGTAGCGAGAGCTCACACCACCATGAGAGAGGCTAGTATCCTAACTGCAAATAGTGATGGATGGGGGTTGCTCCACCATGCTTAACGGCTCGCACGGTGGACTTGCCATCCCCGAGGTCGCTGGTTCCATCTCTCGGTTTGGCAGACGAAGCGATGTTGCAAGTAACTTAAATCTCACTTCCCCCCCCCCCTCCTGCCACCACCTCTGTCCACCCAGAATTATAAACCGGTACACAGATGGTCAGCGGGTTGCCTGAGGTGTGGTAACGTGTGAGAGGCGGCAGGCCAAATACATCTTCTCGCAGCTCGCGCGAGGATGGAGAGGTCCATCTGCCAGCGCTGCTGTGAACCGGCAATTGCAGGGCAGAGCCTTCACCTTTGACCCCTTTGACTCATGGATCGGGCCCCATGTGGCAGAGCCCCTGAAGGAAAAAAGGAGCATCTCTGGCAGACTAAAAGTGTCTTTGTCTTCCTCTCAACACCATCCGATCCATGTGAAATTCCCACAATGGGAGTGTTTGTGTCGGTATTTTTTTTCATCGGTTTGCTTTCGCTGACCAATATAATTGCAAAAAAATTGTTTTACTAAGTCCGAGGGTGATTTTATTGCGATTTTCTAATCGATCGCATTGGTTAAACTCCTTAACTTGTTCTGCGGTTTTGGGGCCTAATTGTGCGCAGATTTTCTACAAACCATCCTCCACTCGAATACGGTTCTCCACTCGCCTTGCATAAGATTCCAGCGTGTTCCACGCATGAATACCATTCCAGTAATCGATAAAAAAAATTGCTGCCGACATGTGTTTATTTTATAAGATGGAATTTAACATCTGTTAAGATCTCTCAAATCCCAGTATACAATTTTAGTCCGAATATTTTTTTACAGCGAGATTCTTGACGGGGGTGGTTTTAAATACATAAGTTTTTTTTTAAATGTACACGTGCTATGAATAAAAGGCAATTGCCTGAAACATCGCCTGTTATATACTTTAAACGTCACCGTGGTATTGTCCAAAATGTGAGCTTTGTGTTCTTTGCGCTTGTGGCAACCGCTGCCAATGCGCAGTTATGACCGAAAAATAATTACTTCAAATATAATAATAACATCGTCGGAGGCGAGGACACTGCATTGTTGTCCACTAGTTGGTGGTCTTGTGGTGCGTTGTTTTTTTTACAATCTAGCGATAACATCGGCCCACATTCCTTCCTGTGGGGAGCCTGTCTGGACTTAAAAAATATATATATTGCCTGCAGTTTATGACAGAGGCCATCGAATTGCGTTTTGAGTGTTGCAAATAATGTGACCCACTCCCTCCCTGAACGCTGCGCGTTGGGGTGTGTATAAATACATGTTGTATATATAGTGAAGCGGAGACTCTAAATAACATATTTATATACATAATGAAGCGGAGACGCTGGAGCCGCCATGGAGAATATCTTGTGGTGTCGGCCGAACTTCTCCCGTCGGAAGTTTGTGATTCCTTTTGGGCAAATGCAACGCGACTTTGTTTTTCCAATGTGCGGGTTTTTTTGGGTTGCAAATAATTGTGACCAATGCCAACGATGGATGTTGCTGGTTAAGTTTAACAATTGATTTGAGAGTTGCTAATTAAACTTGCATTTGTTGTTTAATGTTGCCCAACGCTGCTGGTGCTATATTCTCCACGAATATTGCTCGTTCACTTGCCTCCAATTTGCGCTCTTAATACAGGTCGGGTAAACTTCACATTATTAATGGCACTCATAATTCTCACCGAGCTATACGCCAAATGTTTACTGCATCGGTGCTCAAAATAATACTTAATTTATACAAATCGCAAGGAATTGGTCATGGAAAGAGTCGGCCCTAGGCTGGATATGAACTCTCGGTTCACGATGGAAAGTTCAACTGCTCTCAATGATAACATGGAGTTGTTAGTGCTGTGCGGCGTACTTTAGTGTACATTTTTATTGTAAACTTTCCCCAATAATCGTCGTCCAGTCCATGAGACCCATCCAATGGATTTCTCAGGACAGTGCAACTCTCCGTAGTAGACGAGCCGCTCACGGAAGCGGGAAATCGCAGAACTACTTGTGGACATCAGTTCAAGAGCGAGGAGAACCGATCCCGTGCGGTAGCAGGCAACCACTCTCCCACTGCTCCACATAACGTGGGGTTAATGCGCATCACATGACCGTCCGACGTGGTAGCTCTCTTCCCTTGCCGTCTTTTGGGCAGGCTGGGCTGACGCCAATCAACGTGCACTCCACCTTGAAAAGAACCCCAGTTTAATCGCAGATGGCCGAAACCTGGATTCCAAGTCAAGATCTTGGCCCTCTGACTTTTGGCCACCCAGTCACCACCTCCACTTATCTTGGATTTTTTATTTAACGGCCACTTCAAGCCAGACTTGTGTTTTTGCTGCTTCTTGGTGTGGTGTGATGGGCTTACACGTTTTTGTTTTTCTCTGAAACCCCCCCCCCCCCTTCACTCCCCCTGCCCCCGTCTAATTGTAAAACTCGAGCTACTTTATTTTTCGAGCTACGGCCCACTGAGCTATGGATCTTTCAGAAGCAACCTGGCCACAAATGATAGGTCAACGAGAAGTGGCTTATGACGTGGAAATTAATATCGGCCAAATACTCAACCCATGTTGGTTTCTAAATGCGGAAAAAAACCGAGGGACCGCTGGTGAAAAATCCACACGACACCGGGGAGAGATACAACATGCGTTGTCTGGGTTGGTGACCTCCTGCATACCAGGCGAGATAGTTAACATCTCGCCACGGTGGCGTAATCTGACTTGCGCAAGGCGTGCACTTATTAACCGCACCGGCCACCCTCTCGTCGGGGCCGCGTTGTTGTGTTTTTCTTTTTTCATGATGTGGACGGCGACCAAGAAGCAGATGGCCGTCTTGTCTAGACCACAGCCGAGAGCACAGATTGAACCCCCCTTCACCCCCCCCCCACTCACCCCACTCACCCCACCCCCAACTCTTCGTAAGCCGGCAGAACGAGACCTCATTGACGTCCCAGACCAGGGGCGCGTTGTGAATCAAAGCTGCTTTGTGTTCCACGCTCATTCAGTGCTTCGGCTCCCGCCTGACGGCACGTGTGCACGCACGCACGCGCCGTCCCGTTCCTATAAACAACATTGCAGCAATAAACAACCCTGCCCTAAAGTCTTTTTCCCCCTCGGTGCTGTTTGTTTACATTTTTTTAATATGCGCATTTGTGGATTTTTAAAACGGCGTTTTTTTATTTTTTCGTTTGCCTTCCATTTGACTTTTTTTTAAGTTGGTAAAGTTTTTCGGGGATTTGTGTGGGGGTGTGCAGGGCTCTGCATGAAAATGCTCCATCTCTCATCCGTTAGGATCGATAAGAACAAACCATGCTGTACTTGAGCAGGGAATGGAACCTTTTAATAATGGTGCTGAAGTCATGTCGACCACACGGAAGTCGTCGTACATCTCTGCACCGCTTGTACAAGTGCCAATTGAGGCCTGTGTGGGTAGTGTGCATTTTTGCCCCCCCCCCCTTCAGGTAAATATGTGGGGACATCTGATAGACACCATAATCGCCTATCGGCATTTGTACGGTGAAAGCAGCTCCGATTAAGAAAATCTTTGTTCTTTCGGTAAAGTCACGTAGAAGGGAAATAAAAAAAATGTAACATAATAAAATAATTCTCACGACGTTTCGGCCACAACGCAAGCAGCCGTCCTGAATGACGCTGTCTTTCCGACAGACTTGTTCTTCACCTGAGGGACGGCTGCTTGCGTTGTGGCCGAAACGTCGTGAGAATTGTATTTTATTATGTTTTATTTTAATTATTTCCCTTCTACGTGACTTTACCGAAAGAACCAAGAAGATGAATCCCTGCAGTCACGAAAGCTTTAATTCAAAATTTAAGAAAATCTCACTAACGAGCCCAGCAAAGCGAGCCTGTGACCAGTAAATGTACCAACTGAGGGAGGAGCTCCCCGCAGCAAAAGCCCATCCATCAGAAGTGAAAATGAGCAACTGGGAACCACCGGGCAAAGTCAACCCGCTGTGCCACGTGTGCCGTTACAACGGGAACGCATACCACGTGTTCCTGACCCTAAATATAAAACGTAAAAGCGCTTCCACTCGAGGGATCTCTGAGAGGAAAAACCTCCCTCTCTAGGAGAGCACTTGGCCTAACCTTCCACACCGGCCAGACGGTCTAGGAAGAGGTCAGCTTGCTCACAACTTAGCCGATGTACTAACCGCGGCGCTGTGTGGATGGAGAGGAGAGCAGGAGGGATTGAATTAAGAAACTCTCCTGTCCATTTTCTTCACCCCGTGTCACGCCTTGGACAAACAAACATTAACTGGCGGCCCGTGAGATCGTGCGTTTTTACTCCGCGTCCATAAATGCGTACGTTTTGTTTTTAAATGAAGTCTGAACTCTAGTTCTGTTTATTTCTGCCCCCCCCCCCACCCCCTTTGTGTCGTGTAGCTGAGCCGTTGCCTCTGATGGACCTGGCACGGAGGTCCGTACGAGGGGCCATGGGGAAAGATCGTCTCCACGAAATAGAATCCCTTCCGCTGCCTCCCGCGCTCAAGTCCTACCTCCAGTACCACTGAGGGGGTGGGAATACGTGGCGGCGATGGGCGGCGGCTGCCATTGTGCTCGACGTTGAGGAGCTTGGTGGTTGTTGTTGTTGTGAAGAACCGCAACCGCCTCCTGCCCGGCGTCACGTCGCGCCCGTCCTGCACGTCCAGGCCACGGACGTGTTTGTTCGCAAACGCAAAGACAACCAAAAACGCAACTCTGCTCTCGGTTTCCCACCCCTGCCCCCCCCCCCCCACCCTTTGATTTTAAGAAAACAAAAGTGGAATGCACACGACGACGTTCCATGAACCGACCGTTTCGCTCCTTAGCCGATGTCTTGAAATGTTCTTTAATTTATCTCGTGAACCAGACAAAATCCTGAAGTTGTGCCAAGGTCACACCATGACAACCTTGCTCGACAATGATACCACCACCGCACAATTTGTACAGTACCTTTTTTATCTTCAGAAATTTCTGGACATGCGGCGTTGCTTTTTTTTCTTTGCTCCTACTGTGGCGGGAGTCTGGAACCAGGAATTTTGGGACCGAGGACAAGCCGTGCAAGTTTTTTTCACGTGTAAATGAAATAACACGGTTAAGGGAAGCGAGAGAAAGAAGACTGAGAGACTGAACGCTGTAGCCAGCCAACCCAACCGCACGTTTGCTCCGGGACTTGGAGGGGATGAAGTTGCAAGGATTGGGGGGTTCAACTTGAAATTAGTCCGTTATCGTTGCTGACGTTGATCAGGCATTACACCTCCTCATTCCTAACACTGAACGCAAGATTGAATGTGAACAGAGAACGTCATGGTTACCGCATTATACATCCCACTCTCCCCTACATGGCCAGGATGCAATGCTGTGTAATCCTAATTTTATATATTTCTCTGGCCATTAATCAATCGAGGCGATGTGCTGGAACAACATTGCCGACGAATGGTATATACTGAACTGATCAATTTACCATAAAAATGCTGCTTCCTAATGATATTTTTTAGGTTTTCTTATTAGTTCTACATCGTTGATCTTGACACCCTTGGTGTGTGTGGTGGTGGGGGGGGGGTGCGTGTGGGCCTCATGTCTAGATTTATTTTGGTGGTTTCTTATGAAGACAAAAGCTTTTCAATTGACAAATGCAGCAATGTGAGCAGAGCCTACAAACCCTGGCTTGCCAGCGTTGTTGTAAAGTTGCATGCAGTGAAATTTCCATTTCTACCTTTTTTTTAAAGCTTTAAATTCCGTCTTTCCACCTCCCTCGTGAGCCCTGACCACCACTTCTCTTCTACGTCTCTCTCGTTTGTCCCTTTTTATCTGCCCCCCCCCCCCAACCCATTTTTGACAACATTCTGCGGTTTTTGCAGAACGACTTTATTGGTGTTTTTTTAAGCAAGGACGCAACATCTTAATATTAGGTGGTGCATCGGAATTGTGCGAGGACGCTCCGTGCTGGACAAGCGGGGAAAGCTTCATGTTTACTCCCGACCCGCTCCCACCCCCACCATGACTTGATGCTGAGTGGGTGAAGCTACCCGTGCATTTATACGCTTGTAATTTAATTTAGCTTTAATTGTTTAATTTTTATTCGGATGTGTGCGTGTGTGTAAATGGGTGCGTGTTTTTTTTTGGTTTGAGAGGTGGCTTTTTTTCCCCCCAAGTGCAATATTTGTGGTGCATGCTATATGACAGATGGTTGACTGGCAAGTGTGTAGGGAGAGAGAGGTGGAGTTTATCGAGAGATGTGTGCGATACATCGAACGTGTGTAGGCCCTCGTCGTGACGATTTCCACCAGAACACGGTGGAGGATTTCGCTTTGGGCGGTGGGAGGGGAGGGGGATGTTCCTTTGCTTCATTTCAAATTTTCATCCAAATCTCCCTGACCGTCATTCATCTGGAGGTAAAATCCCAGAGAATTATTTTTGTAATTTATTTTTTCACAAACGGCAAACTTAGGTCTCCCGCGCGCTACTGATTTAGTGTGGTGTTTTTATTTCAATGAGATGCTTTTATGTAAATCCCCCCCCACCCACCCCTAATTTGGGGATGCCCCTTTATGTACATATCTCGGTGACTTTGAAACCGTAGCCATAAATTGACGTATTGAAACACCGCTTTTAGCGAGAATCTGTATGGCTTTACCGTAAAAACCTCATTTTCCCACTTTTATCAGAGAAATAAAAATACGATGTTGGTACCTGGCGAGGAAAGAGTGCTGGCTCTTGCAACTCTGCTTTATATTCAAACCTGAATTCCCTCCTCACGCAATTACAATTTTTGATGCACGTCTTTTTGATAAAGGTTTATATGCTCGACTCAAAGTGTTGCCTTCTCTGAAATACCAATTCATTTTTGTCTTTCGACCTTCATCATTGCTCCCAACGATTTGGCTTAAATTCTGTCGATGGGGTTCAGTGATTCTTCTTTTTCTTCTATTGGTGCTGTAATTCTTGGAAAAGTCTCCTCGAATTTAATATACCGTAGAATCCATTTAATTTTCAGTTGTTATACGTGTTTCTTTCAAAGAGCAATTCCTCCCTCCCATGTGCAGATTAAAATATAAATAAAAATACAAGTTGCGTCCAGGAATGTTTATTCCATCAGCATTTGTTTTGCACATTCATTCATGAGCAGTCCTTAAACGATGCACGGTTAACTTTTTTTTTATTTTAACGCACCCCTCCATGCGATGTGTATTTTACGAAGTTGTAACAAAAAAGCACACCTTATATTTAAGAGCAAAGCTACGTTTTTTGTAAAATATAAAACGTGTGGAAGCCCTGCGCCCTTATTTTATATCAAAAATGTGACCCGCCCCCCCCCCAGAAAATCAGCACGTTGACTTTAGGAGGGGGGGGTTGGGTGTGTGCGCGTGTGTGTGGTCTGTGTGTGTGCTCATTCAGCTCCTGGTTTTAAATGTCCAAGCGAGGGTTACAAGGAGTTTTTTTAAACAACTCGTTAAAATTCCTCTTCATTATCAGTCCGAAGCCTTTTTAGATGCTGTGCATTTTTATTTTGGCGAATGGTTTTCCCCATCACAACCCCCCTACCCCTCCACTCCGTTACATTTGTGTTTGTCCAGTACCGCTTGAACGTGTTTTTACTTTTGTGACCCTGAGTTTTATGGTTTCATTTGCTGTACATTTTGTGAAATTTCCCCCCCTCCCCTCATTAAATAAAACTATTGTAATTTTAAAAATGCCTTCCCGCGTTCGTTTGTATGACGCGAGAGTGACTTGTTTATCGTCTGTGGTGTGTGGAGGTTCGAATGAACGCATGGGCCTATAGGGGGGGCTTGAAGCCTGAGGCGTCAGTATTGGATGGGCCCCGATAACAAACTCCTAAAATTTAACCCGTAAAAACAAAGTTTTTCACTAAATCCTTTATATGCGTGGCGGCTAAAGTCCTCTCGTCTTCTGGCTTGAGATGGCTGCCACCTATGGGTCAGATGATTGTCTGCCACCATTAAGCAATTGGTAATTAAATATTTGAAAAAAATTCCATAAACAGTGTAAAATTTTGGAAAAAAATTTTCACGAAAATAAATTGTCACGCACAACGAGTCTGTGTGCAAAATGTCAGCTCGATTGGATCACGGGAAGTGGGTTAAAAAACGACCGAAAGATTTGCACGGTCGTAAGCGCGCAAGCAAGCGAACTTAATATAAAAGATTTAAAAAACAGCAGTCGGCCGCATTCGTCCAAAAACCACCACCCCGCCCCCCGCGTTTCAATTCGCGAAAGTGGCGACGCTCCAGCAAAAATTTACGCGCGTCGGAAGTGGCCGGTGCCTGTGGCTGAGTTTGCAACCCAACCCGTTGTTTGTTATAAAGGTCCGCGAATGCGGGCGGTCTGCCAGTCGTCCTGGCAATCCAACTTGGGCTGCTTTTCACGCATTGAGCAGAGGGCGACGCGGTGGCGAGACGTTAACTACCTCGCCTGGTGTACAGGAAGGTCGATCCCGACCCCGACCCTGACACCTGGATATTTGGAGTTTGCGTAGTGTCTGTTATCGCGTGGAATTTTTCCCTGGTTCCTCCTGTTTTTCCCTCGATATTTCGAAATATGCATTGAGAGTATTTTTAAAATTTCAACACGATAAGCCTATTCCGTTATCATTTGCGGCCAGGTCGCTTCGGAAAACACGTTCCTTCGGAGTGGGCAGGTAACTAAATAGCTGAGTGGCCCTTACCTGGTAAAAGAAAAACAACTTTTAGAGTTGATTAATATGATGAAGAATGTGTTTGCATGTATATGGGCCTCACGTGCCTCAGCCATTGCGTCTTTAATGACGTATATGCACGCGTGTGTGTGTGTATGTCGACCTTTTGCAACCTATGTATCCAACCGTGCTAATCAGAGGCGCTGGGGGAAGGACAACAGAGGAAACGCAACAAAGCAGTTCTAAAGAAATGACTTCAATCTACACCCCAACGGCAGCTGTCCCTGCGTGGCACACGAGATGACTTCAGCAGCGAGTCTGCAGGTGGACATTAGCCTGCCACGTACTCTAGTTTCCTCCGAATGGAATTGCCCAATGGTACGAAAAGCAGGGCCCTCCTGGAAAAAAAAATATTCGAGACACTCGGGAAAGTTGTCTCAGATTATGTAAAAAAAAGCATTATTATATTACTTGGGTGAGCGGTGGCAGTGTGAACAGCTCACTTCTTCCACAACACCGAGCGACCCTTTTTCGATGGCCAGGCACGGCTGCCATCAGTGGCGAGTGATATCGGAGCCAGTCCTGGGTCGCATTCTTCACCAACCCATCCCCCATGACCGATGTGGCTTGGAGAGGCCCTCATCCAGCAGGGCTGTAAATTAAACAGAGCTAAACATTCCTGAATTTTTTTTAAAGGAGTTGCGTCGCCTTGTGATGTGCTCAAGATCTTATTTTTTTTGTAGTCTCTATGCTATCCAAGGAGATGGGGAGCAGATACATTTACAAAAAGCTGCAATGTCATGCAGGCATTTTTCTGGCCTGTGTAACAGTTAAAGCCTGATCTTGGTGATCAATTCCAGCAGTGGCTATGCTGCTGCTGCTGCTTCAGTACGGTACCGGTAGAGCCCAACAATTCCCATTTCCTCTCTTCCCCCAAGGGAGTTGCGGAGTGGTGGTTATGGTGGTAGGGGGGGGGCGGTTAAAAAATAATCTTTTAGTTGGGGTTGTGGAAGGCCGTCGGAGATGTACCCCCTAAAATGAGCAAACGGCTGCAAGCAATTACCGCCGCCTCGAACTCACGTGGAGGCCTCGACCTCTGTGAAGTGTAGACGTTTATTTTTCTTTTCATCGCGTCGTAAAAACACGCTTCGCTTTTGTGTCAACCCCGCAAAGAAGCGCCGTCGCCTGGACTGAGATGCGTTCATCTGCTTGGTTCTTTCGGTAAAGTCACGGAGAAGGGAAGTAATAAAATAATAAAAATAAAACATAATACAATTCTCACGACGTTTCGGCCACAACGCAAGCAGCCGTCCTCAACGCAAACGGCTGCTTGCGTTGTGGCCGAAACGTCGTGAGAATTGTATTTTATCATGTTTTATTTTTATTATTTTATTACTTACCTTCTACGTGACTTTACCGAAAGAACCAATAAGATGAATCCCTGCAGTCGCGAAAGCTTTAAATCGAAATTTAAGATGCGTTCGTTTATCCTGCGCAGGAATTTTTTTTTGTTTGCAAGACCCAGGCCCTTTTTCATTTCTTCCCGTCGTATTTTGTCAGCGTTTCTGCTGAAGCTGCTGCCTGTCGCTCGCATCGGCGGTCCTGTACAATGCCGAGGACGACTTCAACGTGGAAGAAGCCTCGTGTGTCTCAGCTGTGTTGTCCGGTTGACTAATGCGCACCAGCGCTGATTGAAAGTTAAGTCGTCTTTGACGGCATGATTTATAATGATCGGGATTGGTCACGGAACGGCAGCCAAAGTCTGGTTTGTGTTGGTGTGTTGCTGCCGTTGTGTGTGTGTGTGCGCGTGCTCCCAATCGTGTCGCATTAAAGCGGGGGTCACAAATACTCCCCCTCCTCACCCGTGATGCGATTTGTGTTTGATGAGTCGCCGTCCCCTTTTGAAGCCCCGTGCGAGGAAGGCGTTGTCCACGTGGGGCCTCTTTAGGAAGAAGGACCCTCCGATATTCGCTGGAAACCTTTACGGAGTGTTTTTTTTTTGGAACGTCGTGCTTTATCACGAGCGGCGTTTTCTTTACCTTGTAAACCACACGACGATTTGTAACCATTATTATTCTGACGCTTCATCACCCAGGAAAAGCCTCGCAAAGTCTCACTTTTTTTCAGGAGAGCCCTGTCATGATTGCAAACTCATTTCATGTCGAACTGCTCTTCGTGTTTAGTTTCGTGTCCATCCTCCGCCCCACCGAATCGCACGGATGGCTACGTACGGTGCGAAAGAAGTTCAACATACGTACGTGCAAGATTTCAGGAGAGTCCTGCCAAGTATCCGCAGGCAGGCGGCGATGTCACTGCTGTGTGTAATCCCAGTGGTGTAATTAGCAGCATTGCTACGTTTGGCCGATACCATTGTTTGCAAGTGTGTGTGTGTGGTGTGTTTACCTATGGGAGTTGGGAGCAGTAGTGTAGCGGTTAGCGCGCTGCCCTACTGAACCTGACAACCCGAGTTCGATTGCCGCTCACGGCCAAAAACCAAACCGGTCATGGGCCTCCCCTAGGTCGACTCAGCCTCAAATGAGTATCTGGTGTGGTATGTAAACATCATCACTGGGGAGACAAAGGCGGCCGGGCGTGGTGTTGAACACCCACCCCCTCGTGTGCCGTCCCGGCCTTCATAGGTGCTCGCTAACAGCGCTTGCCCCAACGGGTGAAAACCCATTCAGAACAGAGAGAACATACAAACGCCACACAGAAATTAAGCCAGAGGCAGAAGTCGAACGTGAGTTTTCTTGCTGTAAGGCACAGACGTTACCACTGCCACCCGTGTAGCCTGTAAAAGACCGTCGGAGCAAGTGCTGTTCGCGAGCACCTATTGACGGCCAGCACGGCACACGATGAGTGGCCAACGCCACTTTGTATCCCTAGTGGCGATGTTTACACACCCCACCAGGTACTCATTTGAGGCTGAGTCGACCTAGATGAGGCCCACGACTGATTCAGATAATCGTCACTGGTGTCGACCGTGAGTATGAATCGAACCCGGATCGCTGGGTTCCTAACGCAGCACGCTCACCAACCGCTCCCCATAATTATACACACACACCCATATTTTTAGAGGAAATTGCCAGGTGGCTCAGAGGTCAGAGGTCAGAGCGGTGAGCTGGTAACTCAATCTGGGCAGCCACCCTTGAATAAACGAGGTTCTCAAGTGAAGCAAGTTTTTTGGGCTCAGTCCAGCCACCGATAACCGCACGTAAATCCATCAGAGTTAAGTTTGGTTTACACTTCATGTCTTGGGCTAAATTCCGAATATGATAATGGCAAATTTATTTTTGTTAAATAAAATTCACAGTCAACTGAGCTCAAGCCCCAAGGCCCAATATGCTTGGCGGGCAGCAACAAACAGCACTGTTGAATTGTGTACTCGATACTGGAATTGAGCAAGGTTATGATAACTTGGGAAGAGAATTGATGGGAGGGTTTGGCTGGCACTCAATTAATATCTCTATTTTGAAGTCGGGTGGGTGTAACATTTCTGTCTCGAAGTGTAGACAAGAGATCACGTGAACAGAGTTCTGTGATATCTGCGTCTGCGGACCATACTCTTCAACGGGTGGATGCATTGCTCCGTGAACATTACGAATGGATTCTTCGACTCATGACAGGGATGTCAGTAGCTCTGTTGAGAAAATATAATACAGTACTGGAATAGACAAAACATTTCTAAATCATAATTTTACATCCTTGGTCAGTCCACCTTTGGATGAGGACTTCCCCAAGCCATGTCAGGCATGCGTATTTGAAGATACTGCCTTGCAAAAGAGCTGTATGGCTAAATGGGCTTTACTCGGGGTCACAAACTTTTGACTTCTGACATATATACAGCATAGATATATTGAAATAACGACGTAACAAAAAACACGCCAAAATTGCACGAAACATTCCGCCATTTTTTGTATTCACCAAACTTCTGTGCGCGTGACAACCTACCTCTGTTAATAGCGCCAAACGCCGCAACATAATGCCGCTCGCTAGGCA